TTGAACAATAACATACCTCCACATCCCTGCTTCTCAGATCCCCAAGTGATTTACACTGCATGGTTGGTCAGAGGCGACTAAGAGCCTTGCTAGGCTGGCTGCTTTCCTTGTCTTCAAGTTTTTTCTGATAATCATCTCTTGACTAGATTAGGGATCAGTAAACTTCTTCTGGATAGTTTCTAAGTAGATAGAAACATTTGGGGCTCTGAGGGCCGTGTGGTCTCTGTGCGGTAACTACCCTGCTGTTACAGTGTGAACACTCAAATAAGCAGCAGGTACGTGAATGAGTGTGGCTGTGTTGCAGTAAGACCTTGTTCACAGAAATGGGCCATGGGCAGGGTTGGCCTGCAGGCTGTCACTTGCTAGGTCTAGATTAGGAGGACCCCTGCCTCCTATCACCATGAAAATCCGGGACTATGAGGCCAGGCACAGTGGCTCACGCCTGTAATTCTAGCACTCTGAGCGACCTTGGTGGGTAGATTGAGCGCAGGAGTTCAAGACCAGCCTGAGCAAGAATGAGACTCCATCTGTACTAAAAATAGAAAAGCCATGTAGGTGTAGTGGCACATGCCTATAGTCCCGGCTATTTGGCTGTGACTGAGGCTGACGTAAGAGGATTGCACGAGCCCAAGAGTTTGAGGATGCTGTGAGCTGTGATGCCATAACATTCTACTTGGGGCGACAGAGTGAGAATCTTGCCTCAAAAAAAAAAAAAATCTGGGACTATGCCCCACCCCTAGCACACTGCCCAGACATCTAGGAAGAGGCAGCTATGAAGTCACACGTTGAATAGCAGAAGGGCAGGTGCTGGGTCCTGTCTGATGTCTCAGGAAGCATCTGGATAGATGTGGTGAAGCATGAAGACTGAATTTAATCATTATGTTTAGGGCCAAAGGCCTCCTTTGACAAAAGTTTCTTGGTGGTGTTATCTGAGGTGAAAGCAGTTTTCTCTCTGAGTTGAGACTTGGATTTGGTTTCCAGGTTCTCTGCTCACTTGATAGATAGCCTTGAAATTAAACCTTTTAAGCCCTCTTTATAATTTCTGTAGTAAGAATATTTCTTCTAGCTCTTTACCTTTCTACCAAATACGTCCAGGATTTTAGAAGTCATGGCTTGGATGTTTTGAAAGGGAGCTTTCTGTGTTACCAGCTTAAGGCAGAAGGTATTCCTGGTTTTGAAATTACTGCTAATTTTCAGGGCATGTGAACTTCCCAGTGGTGCCTTGACAGAGCCTTTTTTTTGCAGTTTTTTTTTTTTTGGCTGGGGCCAGACTTAAACCTGCCACCTCCGGTATGTGGGGCCGGCGCCCTACTCCTTCAGCCACAGGCACCACCTGACAGAGCCTTTTTTTAAAGACAGAGCCTCAAGTTATCAACCTGGGTAGAGTACCATTGCATCCCAACTCACAGCAATCTCCAACTCCTGGGCTTAAGCCTTTCTCTTGCCTCAGCCTCCCAAGTAGCTGGGACTGCAGGCGCCCACCACAAAGCCCAGCTATTTTTTGGTTGTAGTTGTTGTCATTTGGCAGGCCCGGGCTGGATTCAAACCTACCAGCTTGACAGAGCCTTTTTGACAACAGTCACTTTGAGGTGGTTGTTTTGATGTGGTATCATTTTGATGGAACTGTTCAGCTTTCTGTTTTAAAAAAATCACTCACTGATTTTTCACAAAGCCAGCAGCCTCTTCCCTGAGTGGGGCCAGAGGAAGAGGTAGGGGGCAGGGAAGAGGGTGTGGGTCAGGAACCGGAGAGGCTGAGGATGGGGGTTGCCACCATCTGCCAGACAAGGCATCCTATGATTACTAAAACTGCCTGTCACAGAAAGGATCCCTGGTCATCCAGACTACTTGCGCATGCTCTAAAACTTGGCTTGCCTCTTGAATGCATGACATCATAAATACTCCATTTCTTAAAATTAAAAGACCTTGTATATGTGTGTGCTGAGGCTGGAGGAAAGGCGGACACTTAACCCACAACATCATCCTTTATCCTCAGCTCTCAGTTACACAGGAAATCCTGAATTAGATGTATGCATCATCTCAGAACTATTTAATGTGCATTAAATAATGCACATACATTATAGTTAACATCACAGAAGTCCCTTTGAAGGATAATTTCGGGGACAGATCTAGGACCCCTTTACAGATTAGCCTAGTTCTCAGAGATTTTTAATAATTTGTACATTTTTTTAATTATAAAAGCAGTATAAGAAGCAATAGACACAAAACTCTAATTGCAAAAACATGAACAAAACAGGAAATTATTTTACCATCTGTGTGGCAGTTTGCTATGACTGCTTCCAGAAATCTGCAATATCAGAATCCCCCCAGTGTTCCAGCATCATTTCCATTTGTTGTGCCATTTCATTCTTAGGACAGCCCTATGATGTGGGTTTGGGGTCCTACCTTGGGTCATTTGACCCGAGAATGAGACAGATTTTTCGTGGCTAGCTGGCAGGCTGCAGGCTAGACCACTCCATATCCAGTGCCAGCCACAGGTATCCAGATCCTAAGGGGGCCTCCAGGCTGTTCCCCTCTGGGTTTGCTGTCTTAGTAGACTGGCTGGAAACCTGGGTATGGACCATCGTCTGGTGAGAGGAGGGGAAGCAGTGTCCACAGCGTGATTTTTTTGTTGTTAAATGTGTGTAATATGGGGTGGCACCTGTGGCTCAAAGGAGTAGGGCACTGGCCACATATACTGGAGGTGGCGGGTTCAAACCCAGCCCCAGCCAAAAACTGCAAAAAAAAAAAAAAATAGTGTGTCATATGCTATAGAGTCAAGCAGCACACAGTTATGTGAAGTAAACAAAATGTATCTCCTCTTTTTCTTCCCTCTCTCAATTCTGTTCCCCAGGGATGACCTTGCATTGTAGTTAGATGTAGCATATGTATGTGGGGTGCTGTGTGTGCATATGTGTATAGGCATATGCATGCCCACACACGCACACCCCCTTCTGCAACTTGCTGTTTTTGCCCACCAGCATACTGGGTCAGGTGCCCATGCCAGTCCTTCATCATATAGAAACTTTTTTGTTTTTTAAGACAATCTCGCTTTTTTGTCCTGGGCTAGAGTGCCATGGACTCAGCCTAGCTCACAGCAACTTCAATCTCCTGGGTTCAAACAATCCTCCTGCTTCAGCATCCTAAGAGGCTATAATGCCTGGCTTATTTTTCTATTTTTAGTAGAGACGGGGTCTCGTTCTTACTCAGGCTAGTCTTGAACTCTTGAGGTCACGTGATCCATCACCTCAGTCTCCCAAGGTGCTAAGATAATGGGTGTAAGCCACTGCACCGGGACATCATGTAGAGATTTATGATAGCTTGTTCTTAGAGTTGTCCCTTTTCCCTTTCCCCATTTCAGTGAATCCTTAACTCTGGACAATTCTTACCTTTCTCTGATACAATTAAAATATATTTCCTCTCTTTCTCCCTCTTTATTCTCTGTCCATGGGCCCAGTCTGACCTGCTAAATCATACTCTCTGGATGGGGCTGTACCCCTGACCCTAGGTAGTCCTTAGGAGCCCTAAAGTTTGAGGACTGTTGACCCACAAGAAGAGTCTAGGCTCCATCATCCAGCTTTGTCACTGTCTTGTGCTTCTGTTCCTGCCCATGCTGCCAGTGCCTCCCTGCCCCTCTTAGGCTTCCCTGTCTGACCCTGGCCATACGTCTCTCCTCTATCCCTTGCAGAACTGCCCAGTAGTCTGCTGTCCGTTGGTTCACGTGCAGAGGGTGTTGCAGTGATTTGTTTACACTTTTCCTGGGTAGCCCACTCCTGACTCATCCTTCAGCACCTTGGCATCATAGACACACAGTAAAAGTTTGACCTAAGAGAGCCAGTGGATGGGGCTGGGCTGGGTACAGGTCTTCCTAAAGTAGCATGCTGGAGTGGGGGTGTCTTGACAGAGGAGAGCAAAGATCTCCTTAATCTGCCCTTGATGGGCTCTTCCTGCATCAGCAGGTGGCGCTGTGCCTGTGACCTGCAGGAATACTGCAGGGCAGGGAGTGCCTGGTCTTCCCCGGGCCTCCCGCCATGCTACAGACCCAGGTGCACCTACTAATCTTGGCTTTTCTGCCCCTTGCTTTGCCAGGATGCTGGTGGAAAGGTTCTCCGTGTCACTGCAGGCTATCCCACTAGTACATCCAGGCAAGATTGTGTTTCTGCCCAGACATCATCCCCTGCCATGTATCCTGGACTCTTCTCACCTGAAGCCACGGAACTCCCTGGAAGAGCTGTTCCTCAGGTAAATGAACATGAGGGAGAGGGTGAGGAGATAGTACAGCCTTTCATACTCCTCCCTTCATCGTATAGAAACTTTTTTGTTTTTTGAGACAGAGTCTCACTTTATTGTCCTGGGCTAGAGTGCCATGGCCTCAGCCTAGCTTGCAGCAACTTCAGTCTCCTGGGTGTAAGCAATCCTCCTGTTTCAGCCTCCTAAAAGGCCGTATGGCCTGGCTTATTTTTCTATTTTTAGTAGAGACAAGGGTAGACAGGGGGATAGGGCTACCCCAAAGGAGGACAGCTGAAGTGTACCACTTTTGGCCTATTTGAGGGATATAGGTGACATGGCCACACACATCTATTTATAATAGTTATTTTGATATACATACTTTCAAAAAATTCTGCATTATAGCAAATATCCAGTTGTACATTTACATGTTCATATTGCTTTCTCTTCTCCCTCACTCCAATACCACTGAATAGCTTGAGTCAGACTCATACCTGCTTTGGGGTTATGTCTCCATCAGCGCCCTAGCCACTTTCTGGGCCATCCAGAGCATTTGATGGTCTCTTCCATCTACAATTTAGAGACACTGCATTCTTCAGTCAGTGTATGATACTAACACTGAAAATTTTGTCCCCAGCCACAAATGTACTATATAACAATAGGACAGCTATTCTGTCCTCACCTTTTGGGGAGTAAATTCATGTTTATTATCATATAACCACTGACTATGTTCCTTTTTTTTTTTTTTTTTTGGCCGGGGCCAGGTTTGAACCCATCACCTCCAGCACATGGGGCCAGCGCCCTACTCCTTTAAGCCATAGGTGCCGCTGACTATGTTGCTTTTAAAAGGATGATTTTTAAAAGATTTTCCACAACCATATCTAACACTGGAAGTTGTGAGCTAGTATATCCAAGAATAAGCTAAAAAGAAAGCCTACAGGACTCAGTGCCATCCACCATAAGGGTGCTTATGCATGCTGATGCCCTGCTGGGTTGGAGGCTAGAGGAAGGGAGATGGGTAACCTGACCCATGTTAAGGAGCTCAGACATTGGGCTGTCAAGCTGCTTCTATAGTCTCTTCAGTCACTTTGGGACTTCAGCACAAGACTCTCTTCTCTTTCCCAGCTACTCAGGACTTTCTCATGTTTATTTCATTAATTTAATCCATCTTCTTTTATATTATGAAGATTACTCTTAACGTTTTGATATGCTACCCTTAAGAGGTTTTACCATGGGAAATTGTAAGTACCTATAAATGGGAGAGACCAGTATAATCAAGTAGAAAATCACTTGGTTTCAACTAGGACCAACTCAAAGCAAATCTTTCTTTCTTTTTTTTGTACACAGAGTCTCACTCTGTCACCCTTGGTAGAATGCCATGGCATCAGAGCTCATAGCAGTCTCAAACTTTTGGGCTTAAGTGATTCTGTTGCCTCCACCTCCCAAGTAGCTGGGACTACAAGCGCCCACCACAATGCCCAGCTATTTTTTACTACAGAAAATTGTTGTTTAGCTGGCCCAGGCTGGGTTTGAACACACCAGCCTGGATATATGTGGCTGGCGCCATAACCACTGTGTTATGGGCACTGTGCCATCAAAGCAAATCTTGTTTCATCTCAACCTCTGCCCAATAACGCCATCCTCACAGGGTTACTTTTAAGCAAACTCACATGTAATTTAATCTGTAAATATTTCAGATTGTATCTCTAAAACATAGTATTCTAATTTTAGATATAACTGCAATACCATTATTATACCTAAAGAAATAGTAATTTATTTTTTTTTCGGGACAGAGTCTCACTGTGTCACCCTCAACAGAGTGCTGTGACATCACAGCTCACAGCAACCTCAAACTCTTGGGCTTAAGCGATTATCTTGCTTCAGCATCCCAAGTAGCTGGGACTATAGGCACCTGCCAGAGTGCCCAGCTATTTTTTTGTTACAGTTGTCATTGTTTTAGCTAGCCTGGGCCAGGTTTGACCCCTCCAGCTTCGGTGTATGTGGCTGGCACTGTAACTACTGTGCTATGGGCGCTGAGCCAAGAAATAGTTATTTCTTTCTTTTTTTTTTTTTTTTTTT